CTCTGCCAACGCCCCTTTTTTGCCACACTTCCCTACCCTATTGCGGCTAAAATATGCCACCTACGATTTTTTTGTTATTTTTTCTGTGATCAGGGAACAAAAATGAACACTTCTATAAGACGAAAGAATTTTTTGGAATTTTTTTTTTGTTGCGCCTGTGGGTGTGAATTCCATTTGGGCCCCTAGCGGTTTGAGGGTTAATCTGGTTCATCCAGTAGTTGTCGAGATCCAGCATTGGCTGTTTCTTGTTCACAGTAAATTTAAGTCGGTTGAGTTTTGTTGGGTTCCCAGCCATATTGGTGTGTCTTTAAATGAGCGTGCGGATGCTGCCGCCAAGGAAGCTGTCCGCTCTTGTCCCATTTCTCGTAAAGGTATTCCGTATTCCGACTTTTACCCGGTTATCCATTCCTTCGTCCCTACCCGTTGGCAGGCTTCTTGGTTGTCTGTTACTGGTAACAAACTACGTACTCTTAAATGTTGTGTTTCCTCGTGGCCGTCCTCCTTCCACCGTAACCGGCGGTGGGAAACAGCTCCGGCGAGGTTGCGTATTGGCCATACTCGCTTAACCCATGGTCACTTGATGGAGCACTGCCCTGCTCCTTATTGTCCTAGTTGCATTGTCCCTCTTACGGTCGTGCATGTCCTTCTTGAATGTCCTGACTTCCAGGACAAGCGTGTGTCTTGCTTTCCGACCGCCCCTCGCGGTCACCTTTCCCTCAATAGAATTCTTGGTGACTCGGATACTTTTGATATCGTTCGCCTTATGCGTTTTTGTTCTCGTATTGGCATCCTTGGTGATATTTAGGGCCCTCTGATTATTTTGAGCATTTGATGGTGCTACATAGCCTTCCCGGTTTGGTGCTTTCTTTTGATAATTACTTACTTACTTGACTCATAATAGCTACTTAGTGGTTCGTTATAGTGAACAAAACATGCAGATACTTATAAATAACCTGTGCTTATAGTGTAATAACCGACAAAGTACTTGTTCACCGATTGATGATCATAATTGAATCAACAATATGCACACCATATTTTTGAGTACAGCAATGATTCACTCATTTTATTATATAAATATATCAAACTACACACTATTGAATAATATTACAGCAAAAAAACTATGAAAAATCAATCAGAGACATTGAAGTAATTATCTCTTTGTGGCAACTCCGGCCTGACAGCTGGCGAACAACAGACCGCCTGGGAAGCACGCTGAGTCAGCGCATATTTTTTGGCAGACTTCCCCGCCCTATAGCGAGCAATATATACCACTTACAATTTTTTTATTATTTTTCCCGTGATCAGTGAACACAAATTAACAGGTTAGGAAGAAAAAATAATTAATTTTTTTTTTTCTTCAAAATTACATGCACCTGTGGGGAAGAAAGGATATTATATCCCTAGCATGTTAAGGGTTAATGGCAATGTGATGCCTCACTACAGACAAGTGTTGGAAAGAAGGGAAAAACAATCTTCAATGGAACGATTTCTAGTGAGAAAATCAAGCAGTGAGCCAGAAGCAGGTCCTAGTTCTATGCAGGCAAAACGTACCAGTGTGTGTACCCCAGAGAAGTCATCACTGCCTGATGTTATAATGTAAGGGAACTCCCCTTCCAAACAGTAACACCTCTTCTCCCCCTCCTCACCATCTTCCATACGCCATCAAGAGTCCTCCATAAAGGTAAGATAAACTTATTTACTGTATTGTAATTTGAGAAAAAAATTGTATTCAGTATAAAATATATTTGTAAGTTAATATTTTAGAAGGTAGGGAACGGATTAATTCAGTTCCCTTTATTTCTTATGAGAAAAATTGCTTCGACTTACAATATTTCGACTTACGATCCGTCTCTGGGAACGGATTACCATAGTAAATCGAGGCCCCACTGTACTCGTTTCAGTTTTCTCACGTTATTTCTCGTGCTACATCGTTCGTTTTGGTATCATTGTGTTCGCAATAGAATTCTCTATAGGGGTATATGCTTATAAGGTCTAAAAGCCCAAAGTGAGTCCCACAGCAAAGCCTAAAGTTGGCCAAGTTACCCGTGAACGAGCACCAATTGGCACACGTGCAGACTAATGTATATACAGTACTTGTTCAGTTTGATAACATAAATTTTCGTGCTATGTCCTTCATTTTGGTATCAAATTGTTCACAATAAAAAGGCACACATTTTAAAACTAGTCCGATAATAATAGAACAATAAATAAAATTTTAACAAATATTTTAACTTTTGGACACTTTTTGATGCTCATCACAACAAAATTATTTATATCTTTCCAGTGTTCTGACATAAATTTTCATGTTACATCTTTCATTTTGGTATCAAATTGTGCGCAATTTAAAGGTGCTCATTTTGAAACCACCTAGAATTTGATCGGATGAAAATTGAATTTTTTTACAAATATTTTAGTTTATGACGCGCGAGCGATAGTCATCGGATTACATTAAGGAGAAAAATTATGACGATAATAGGAGGGCTCGGAGTCTGATAGTGTTAAGGCTAGCCAGCCTGCGGTCTATCCCCGTGCCCATGATGTTCGCTAGCACACTGCTCTTACTGCCGTCTTTGGCAACATGTCCAAGGCAGACATTTGGGCACGGGGACCTTGTCGGTCAAACAGGGTCCTGGCTGCTTGTTATCTCATGAACGTTCCTGGGTCTAGTCGGGCCTGTGTCGCTTTGGGTCGGCGGTTGCCGCCAGTTGTCTCAGCTTACAGTTGAGGAGTGAGCAGCGACTGCCTCCCGAGTACGTCCTTCTATTTTCCTCTGTGGGTGGTTAGCTCCAGGGAGCCACAGGGGCTTTCCCCCCAGAAAACCAGCATTGAATGTAATGAAACGCCATTTTCTGGGTGAGACCTGGAGACTCCCCGTCATCCCTCCCTCCCTCCATTTGGCGATTTTTTGCATGTCTTGACATCCAGCCTCAGAACTGAAGGGTGGATAGCCGGCGCAAGGGGTCTGGGGCTCCCCCTTCCCCCTCCCGGGAGGGGTGAGCTGCACAGACAGCGGCGTGGCGACGTGTGACATCGTGCTCGTTTGCTTGTTTCTTTTAGGGGAGTTCTATCCACTTGTTCGGTTTTTGGTAGCAATATTTTCACGAGAATAGGGGTTTGTTTTGGGATGCTTACCTTTCTGGGTGACTGACCCGGTCGATGGCAGACATAGAATGCTTCCAACCACACGGAGGTTTCTATAGGCCATTGCTCCCCTTGCCTCTCTGAGGGGGCCAGGTTCTGGCTCGTGGTCCCTGGTAGGCCCACAGAACTCCATACACTTGACTGATGCCAAAATCTGACATTAGCATATCAGTCTAGTAAGCTCCGGGCCGCCTCCGGGTCTCGCCCAGAAAATAGCGTTTCATTACATTCAACGCTGGTTTTTTGCCTGAATTTATCTTAATGTTTACATGCCTGGCATGCATAAATCATATAGAAAACCTAAAAGCAATAAAATGATGAAATACAATGGGGCCTCAACTTACGATGCTAATCCGTTCCCAGAGACGGATCGTAAGTCGAAATATCGTAAGTTGAAGCGATTTTTCCCATAAGAAATTAAGGGATTTGAATTAATCCGTTCCCCACCCTCCAAAATATTAACATACAAATACATTTTATACTGATTACAATGTTTTTTTCTAACTACAATACAGTACCACCTAAGTTTATGGAGGGCATATGGAAGATGGTGATGAGGGGGGAGGAGGAGAGTTGTTACTGTTTGGAAGGGAAGTCCCCTTCCATTATCACATCAGGCAGTGATGCTTTCTCTAGGGTGCTCTCTCCTACGTTTTGCCTGAATACCTTTAGGACTAGAACTACGCTCTGCTACGAAATTGTTTTTCCAGGAGGCCTGGTCGACGACCGGGCCGCGGGGACGCTAAGCCCCGGAAGCACCTCAAGGTAACCTCAAGGTAAGGTAAGGACCTGGTTGTGGTTCAGTGCTTGTTTGTCTCACTACAAATTTGTCAAGAGACATTTGTTTTTCCCTTCGTTTTAACATTTGTCTGTAATGATGCATCACTTTAGCACCCATAATGTTCTTTTTCTTAGCCAGTATGGTGGATATCGTTGATTGAGATTTGTTGTACTGCCTAGCCAGTCCAACATCCCGCACACCATCTTCATATTTACGAATGATCTCTTGTTTCTGCTCTATGGTCATCCTTACATGGGATCTCATATGTTAAGCCTTACCACTGACTTTCCTGGGACTCATGGCGTGATATATAATAATTACTTTAATGTTCAAAATGCAAAAATTCACCACAAAAGTGAAATTTCTTATAGGCGCGATTGTCACTAAGCGGTCAGCTGTAGTAAACTGAGGCAGGTCGGCCGCGTGACTGGGAACCACGCACTCGGTTGACCCAAATGTGTACCAACAAATATCATAAGTCGACGACACCATCGGATGTCGAGTCGCATTTTTCGATGAAATTTACATCGTAACTCGAAATTATCGTAAGTAGGGGCAATCGTAAGTCGAGGTTCCACGGTACCTGCAAACGCAAATTTATTCTCACTTCTCTGTACTTAGGAGAGTTGATGTATGTTGAAGGTGGTGAGGTAGAGGAAAAGAGATATTGTTTGGCAGGGAAATCCTGCCCTGAGAATCATGGGTTTTGCCTGAATTTTAAAATGTTTCTAAAGTGTGACAGACATACCTTTGACATTCATCAGGTTTATAACCTGATTTTTCACAACTAAGGACATCCTCCATCTCCTATTCCTCTGAACACAATTCCTCGGCTGCTGTGTGTTGTGACATTCATTTGTATGGTTGAGTACCAAGTGAACGATCAACTGCCGAATATTTTTTTCCACGCATAAAGTGCTCGAATACTGAATTGTTCAAGTTCAGAGACATTCGAGTGCCAAAGCATTGCGGTATTTAGGTTTTTATATACTGTATATGTAAAAGTGAAGATAGTATATTATCAATGAAAATTATAGCTGATTTGTTTACTATTAATTTTGCTTATATTTTGCCACAGAGTCGGTTAGTGCGGGTTCTGCTACAAGGAAGTGATCGTCTCTACCTCAACACTTCAGAAGGCCTTGCAGGCGTCTCTGATGCTGCACAGGACTGCTTATCCTTTTATTTTGATGACGATGATGAAGGTGCCTTTGAAACCCCAACTCATCACAAAGATTCACAGTTCAGTGTAGCAGCTAACAAGCAATGGATTGTTATTCCAATACCTTATAATTACACATCTTCAAACTGGCCTATAAGAGTAAGTTATAGTACATAACAGCAGGATCTATTAGCCAATGTACAGATTATTTGTGATTAAGACCATCAAGTACAGTGCATGGAACCATAATATTTTGGAGCTTGTCCTCTTGGATGATACATCTATATGATCCACCCAGAACTCTAAATTACCCATCAGGCTCTCAAAACATTTATCCCCAGTGAAACAGACATTTGCAATCACACATTAAGTTAATGGAGTGTGTGTGGTGAGTGTAACTCACACCACTACCAATAGTACTAGCTGGCCATGATACAAACAAATCAATCACAATTTTTCAACTCCCCTTGCAAGCAAACATTGAATGTACTGTACCAAGTGACACCTGCCAATTATCACTTGACAAACTACCATCAGTAAATCAAAGGCTACAGTACCTGGGGCCAGATACGAAGCAGTTACGCAAGCACTTACGAACCTGTACATCTTTTCTCAAACTTTGGCGGATTTGTTTACAATTATTAAACAGCTAATGAGCTCCAAAGCACCAGGAGGCTGTTTATAACAATAACAACAGTTAATTGGAAAGTTTTCATGCTCGTAAACTGTTTAATAAATGTAACCAAAGCCGTTAAATATTGTGGAAAGATGTACACGTTCGTAAGTACTTGCGTAACTGCTTCGTGAATCTATCCCCTGAATCTTAAGTGAGCATTGTGTCACCATACCAGGGTCAGAGTGGCTGACCACCCTCACTTTTAGTCCTGGCATTTGCCCACAACTTTACGTTTTTTCTGCAGTGCCTACTGAAGTTTAGCTTTCTTTTGTCAGTTTATTTTTGAGAACGTTGTCTTAACACAAAGGTGCTCCATGCTCGCAATGTTTGTTTAACTGCATGGTAATTACCTAAGTGTAATTATCTAAGTGTAGCTACAGGATGAGTTATGCTCTTGGTGTCCCCTCTTCCCAGCACTTTCTTATATCATGCTTTAAAACTATCAATGGTTTACTACCACCACCTCACTTGTACCAACCGTCTACCACTGTGTGCGAATGTGAATTTTCTCATATTTTTCAGCACCTTTGTTTAGTTAGCTTAAATCTATGACTTGTTCTTGAAGTACCAGGTCTCAAGAATCTTTCTTTTTATGAAGTTTGTTAATTCCTGTCCCTATTTTGTATGTAGTGATCATATTGCTTCTTTTTCTTCTATCTACTAGCTTTGGCATATGTAATGAGTCTAACCTCTCCTCGCAGCTCTTGTCTTTCAGTTCCGGGAGCCTTTAGTTGCATGTCTTTGCCCCTTTTCCAGTTGATGTTGTTGCTTAAAATATGGGCATTATACAACTGCTGCATATTCCAGCTTTGGTCTGACAAAGGTTGGGAACAGTTTCTTTAGTATTTTGCCGTCTCTGTATTTAAAAGCAATTCTGAAATTGGAAAGTGTAGCATAGGCTCCTACAAAGTTTGTTATGTTGTCCTCGAGTGAAAATCTGGAACCACCCCTAGATCTTTATCAAAATTTGTTGAAGTATTTCACATATCTTGTATGTTGTATGTGGCCTATTTTCTCATATGCCACATTCCATAATGTGGCATTTATGTACATTAAATTCTATTTGTCAAGTGTTGCTTCATACACTTATTTTGCCCAGGTGTTCTTGAAGGGCATGACAGTTGTCTAAGTTTTTATCTTCCCTAATATCTTTGCATCATCAGCAAATACATTCATATAATTATGTATTTCTTCTGGTAGATCCTTAATGCAGACAGTGAGCATTACTGGTGCAAGAAGTGAATCCTGTGGTACTCCACTCTGGACATTCCTCCAGTCTGATACATTGCCTCTTTCTGAGGGGAGCCCCATCGACTCCCTGGGGCTATGGGACTGATATTAGCTATGTTAGTCTGGGACTTGAGTCATATGGAGTTGTCATGCCTTCTGGGAACCACGAGCCAGAACCTGGTTCCCTCAGAGAGGCGAAGGAAACAGTGGCCTATGAAAACTCCATTCTTTGAGAGTACAGTATATTCATGTTTGCCATCGACTGGTGTTGGACACCCAGAAAGGTAGGCGCCCCAAAACAAACCCCGTCTGGTTGAAAATTGACACCGGATACCGAAACAGAGGCTAAGAACTGCCCCTAAGAAAAACAAGGAAACAAGCAAATTGTCATCAACCTGATGCGCCGCTCATTCGCGCCCCACCAAACCGGCCGTCGGCCCATCACCTTGTCGACTGAAGCTGACTGGGGTGGAAGTCTAATCTGGCCTCGATTGCCTGTCAGGATTTTTGCTCTAGTGGTGGTGCCTGCTGTGTGTTGGAGCATTGGCCAAGAGCTACAAGTACTTGGGCTGCATGCGCTTAGCCACCCTAGGTGCCTAGTAAGTACTTCCCTTGGTACTTAATCAGGATTCTCTTCCCTGGAGCTTCCGGGTCTCATCCTCGTAGGGGGTAGCTGTCGCTTGGTTTCTGCCTCGCCCTTGGGGTCAGCTTGGGTCTATGGTACTATCATTTGGCCCTGGGTAGGAAGTGTTTTTTTGCTGGTTGGGATGCACGGTGCTGCTGTGCAGCACCATGCCTCTCGCTGGCCTCCTGTTGTAGTGGGGCACTTACGGAGTTTAGTTTCTTTTTAGATTTTCCTGCCTGGTGGAGGGCAGCCTAGCTTCCCATTAGGTATGCCTAGGTTTCCTTTATTTGGTGGTTCTCCTCTCTGCCCCCGAGGCTGCTCCCTACACAGGGGGTTAGTTTGCCCGGTACATAAATTGGGTTCAACTGGCTTTGGCAGCCTCACTTCATGGGCTTCCTGTAGAGACAGATCCCCATGCAGGCCCCTGGAAACCCACGTCAGGGCTTGGGTGACTCACACTATGTCTTCCGAGTCCCATTTAGCCTTGTTCCAGTTTGTAGATTGTTCATTTCCCTTGTCTCAGGGTGACGATCACCTATTTTGCCTTCTTCATGCTGTTTGTTGGGTCGCTGATACAAAGTCTGACACCTTCAACCCGGAGGGTTGAAGGTGTCAGACTTCAGAAAGAGAAAGAGACTTGGCCTCTTTCAGCAGATCAAAACGATACGGTACCTTGATGGTTCGATCTACTCTTCGCGTCTGGTATTTCGGACACACGTGGCAGCGCGAACGAGCGACACGACAGGTTGATGCTGATTTGCTTGTTTCCTTGTTTTTCTTAGTGGGAGTTCCAATCCACTGTTTCGAGGCTCTAAGACACATTACGCAGAAAGAACCCGGTTATTGGCTCAAGAGGCCGTAACGACAACTCTGTCTCAGGTCTGGCTTTTGTTGGAGCCAGGTGCCTGGATGGTGTCCCTGGACCTCCGGGTCCTGGTGACCTGTCTGCATCTGCTAGGGGTTCAGGTTCTGGCCTACCTCGATGAATGGCTGGTTAGGGCTTCCAGCTGGTCCACTTGTCTGCTCGCCAGGGATGTGGTTCTCTCCTAGCTTGCTGGGTTCGGGTTCCTGGTGAACTGGAGGAAGTCCCATCTGGTTCCGTCCCAGGTTCAGACCTGGCTGGGTCTTGTTTGAAATTCTTGGACTGCTTCCATGTCTCTCCCTCCGGAGGCATTGCTGTGGCTGCGGTCCTGCCTTCAGCTATTTCTGGAGGTTCCCGGGTCACTCAGTGGTTACTCGAGCAGTTGTGAGGAAGTCTTGACTTAGCTGTACTGGTTTACCAGCTGGGTCGGGCTTGGCTTTGGCGTCTGTTCTGGTTCCTTCGGGGATACCTCTTCTGCCTCGCTCGCGATTACTGGGTTCCGCCTCCAGGGGGCCCTTGCATCAGTTGCTGCGTCTTCTGCTTCCTCTAAGGGTTTTTCAGGGTTCAGTGCCTTGGCACCTACCCGAGCCCTTGCTCGATGTGTTCACAGACGCGTCATCTCTTGACTGGGGCTTTGTGACCAGTGCTCACCAGGCCGGCCAGGGGCGGTGGGGTCCGTCTTTCCGTCAGACTCACAGCACGATGAGGGAGTTCGCAACGGTCTGGCTGTTGCTTCGGAAGGTTCAGGTCGCTCGGTGGTTCGACCAATTGGCTCCATTCAGACTGTTCTCCACTGGTTCATTGCCGGAACCTGCGGGGGTTCTCTTCGGTCCTTGCCTCTTTGGGACTGGTCACTTCGAGTGGCTCATCTGCTGGTTTCTCAGGGTTTGGCTCTCTGTATGGTTCATATCTGAGGAGTGTCTCAACATCCTAGTGGATGGCCTGTGTCTGTTCATTTCCCTGTCCACAGAATGGACGGTCGATACCGACACCTTCAGTTGGCTCTGCCAAACGTACGAGCTCCTGGAGGTGGATTTCTTCGCATCGGCTTGGTCGAGGCATCTCCCGATATATGTGGCGCCCTTCCCCGACCTCAGAGCATTCACGATGGATGTCTTTCAGCAGGACTGGTCGAGGTGAGGTTACCTGTACCTCTTTCCCCTAGTCCAGCTGTTGCTTCTGGTTCTGGCTCAGTTGGAGTCTTACCACGGAAGAGTAGTCATTTTATTCAGTTTGTTTTTACCCTTCCACTGTTCTCCTCGGTGGCGCCCCCTGCTAGGTCCCCGTGAGTGTACACGTCCCTGGGGTTCAGCTTTAGAAGTTTGCTTGGTAGTTTTGGGCGCCGGTTTGCAGCACCCTGCCTGGGACTACCTGAGCACGAGTCCTCTTAAAGTAAACGCTCAGGACCCTGGGAATCCCCTAGGGGGCGCGTGGGTCCGATGGATGTGACCCCGGAGTCCCCACTCGCTGTGTGCGAGTTTGAGGGTTGCTCGGTCCCCTTGTCTCAGGGTGACCCTCATTGTTTTTGCCTCTGCCACGCTGCCTGTTGGGTCGGTGATACTTTCGACCCTGAGCCCTGTGAGTGTTGCTGCTTGCTTGTGACTCAATTTACCCAATCCTCTGATGATTCTATTCGGGTACAGGCGGCGCGTGCGTTGCAGTCTAGGTTTCGTCTGTTGCAACGCGCTCGGTTGGTTGCTTCCCCGGATGCCCCGGGGCTTTGCGGGCGGGCTGCCCCGCTTTGCTTTTCGAGACCCGGACTTGGG